TGTTTATTTGATAGTTATTGGAGTATGAAGCTTTGCAAAGGCATAAGGAAGCTGTACCATTATCATTAGATCCCTTAAATTGTATAACTGGACATTAATTACAATAATGGCACTATATATGGTAATTTACTAGCCATTATGAGAAAGTACATCATAAAGGGTTAATTTTAATGACCTATTAATATAAGTAGTAAATTGATAACTAAAATGACATCACAAAGGGTCTACCTTAATGACTAATTGGCATCTATCAATATTGGAAGTAAATTGCTAGCCACAATAACAAAGTATATCACAAAGAGTTAATCTTAATGAATTATTGGCATCTGTTAATACTGGCATTAAATTGCCACCAACTAACTCTGATAGCATTAAATGTTTACCTTAATACTATATTGTAGTTTATTTTGCTGTATTAGCACTCAATTATTAAGCATGTATATTTAGCTTCTTATGGCTAGATAGTTTAGATCGGCACCGTCAATATTGAACTATTTAAACATCTTTGTATTAACCCCTTTTTCTTTATTGCTAGCAGGCTGCCTATTGCAAGATGTGTAGTCATTTGCATTGATATATCGTCCTTTGAGGGGTTAACTAAAGATGCTAATTATTAATTGACACTTCGTTTATAGGAATAGTGATCTGACTGGCTCATTTGAAACATATATTAACTAATGGATTATTGCGAATGTTGTTCTTTTTGCTTCCTGATTGGTGGTTTGAAAATTGTTTCAATAGGGACATGTACTTATAAGAGACCCTTCGATCAGTATGGATTTGGCCCCTGACGAAGGTGCACTACTAAGGCACCGAAACGCGCGTCGGGTTTAGAGGGATTCCCCCCCCCCACTGTTTCTCACTTCACAGGGCACTCTATCACAATGTGCAGGCAACCAACACTCTAAGTATGGTTCTGCACATTTAGCACTTTCTTTTTCACCTCAGTCTATTGTCTTATACCCTAAATTAGTGGAGTTGATATACTAAAGGCTGATTTGGATACAATTTATCTATGTGGCTACTTAATATATAAGCGTTTAGTCACACTAATATCGCTATATTGATACTCTTTACTGTTTAAATGTATCGATTAAATATTCAAAGTTTAGCTATACAGGGATGGTGTTTTTTGTTTTTTTTAATTATGCTTTACAGCACTGATCATTATTTATCTCTAATAGCCATCCTTATAATAGGGAAGTATTAGTAATCTGATACAGCCTGACATTTTGCTCGAAATTAATTTATTTTTTTCGAAGTAATTTATATACTTTCTACCTCACTATCAAGTGATGCAAGTTATTATAAATTTTACATTACTTTGAGCATTTTTTGAACCCCACCGGGTATAAGTATATTCCTATAGTTTCCTTGTATTTTCAAGTGTAGCTGATATTAATTGCAGACATTGACCACTATGGATTATATTGAAGTCTAAGTCTGTGAATTTCAGCAACTATTTTAGAGACTCTAGGATAGGAGGCAAGCCACTTGGCACCTATTCTTCCATTAGATCGCTCTATAGTATTTCTATGGTGTCTATTTCTATCTATTATTATTTTGTATAGCATTTATTTACATTCATTATTGTTTGGTCATAAGTTTTCCAGAGGATACTCATAATTTGAGTGTCTTATAGTTCTTACGAGGACTTTCCCTGTTACATCCTCCACTCTGGAACAGTGATTAGTGATTAGTCCTTTCCCCTCCCAGTAACCAGACGACACATAGTTCTGGGAGTACAAGCTGGAATGTTTTAAACTGGCCAAATGGCCTGTTTTTATACAATTTCAGACATAGTTAAGCATGCCCCTGACATTCCCAAACAAACAGGATAATCCCTCTTGTGGACCTGAGAGGGGACTAGTTACAAGTTCCAAACTCCTCCTCTGTGGCTGAGAGATAATTAAGTCAGGAACTGAAATAACTCAATTATCTCCAGGCACAGAAAAACATACAATATTACAAACCCCCAAAATACCTTTAAAAAACATAAAACCCCCACAAACATTACATCCCATGATAGCCCTGATCTGAGTGACCAAAATATCCAAAAGTTGGTTCAGAGGTTCGGAATTTCCCTGGAAGTCATAATTATGACCAACCTTAACCCAAACCAGTTCCATGAAATAAGTGCTAATGGTTGGTCAAGTTCAGTAGTTTAAAAATGAACAAACTACCGATCGGAATCCATAGTGGACCTTGTTCACCTTGTTCGTGGGAACGTTTCCACCGAACAGTGCCCTTCTAAGTTGTATAGAACTGAACGCAGGCGATGATGGAAGTCCAGCGGTGTTCGGGAGTTTCTTTTTTAATCGGGGTAGCCCCCAAAATATTGGGACATATAAAAAAAAAAGAAACATTTGCAGCCTGCGGTGCATTTCTTGCAGTCCAATAATGCCATCAGGTTTTTAAAACTGTCCATCTCCACCACACGGAATGACAGCATTTAAAAGGCCAGGAATTTTGAAATGCTGGCATTCAGGGCCAGGGATCGCGGTGGGTAGGGGGGTACTTCCTCTTTCTCTCCAGTGTTTGGGAGATGGACAGATGAACGCTTCCATGGGACAGTGTGGAGATGCTTGGGGACGGTGGCGGACGTGGTGGCATTGCTGCCACATCCTCTGTTTGTGGGGCGCAGGTGCCACTGTTACTCCAGAGGTGGAGCAAGAGGCTGAGACAGCAGCAGAAAAGGAAGCAGGAGGAGCCGGAGACCTTTCTTGGTTTTTGAGGTGCTTACTCTACTGCAGCTCATGCTTTGCATGTAGATGCCTGAGCATGCAGGTTGTGCTCAGGTTTAGAACATTTATGCCTCACTTCAGGCTCTGATTGCAAACCACTCGTGTCTTGTCGTCAGCACATTTTCTGTAGAACTTCCACACCAGGGAACTCCTTGGAGCTTACTTTGGTTTGCTCGGTCCCTGGGTTTGGTGGGCAGTAGCAGGCGTACTGTCTAGGGGACGGCCACTCCGCTTTTGCATCCTCCTCTAGGAGGAGGAGGTGGAGTAGGAGGTTGAGGAGACGTTGACCGTAGCGGTGTAGGTGGAAGCGGCAGTGGAGGCGGCCTACACCGTTTTTCAATTTATTTATTTATTTTAATTGAGAAAAAAGAAACATTTGCGGCCTGCGGTGCATTTCTTGCAGTCCAATAACGCCATCAAGTTTTTAAAACTGTCCGTCTTCACCAGACGGAATGACAGCATTTCAAAGGCCAGGTACTTCCTCTTTCTCTCCAGTGTTTGGGAGATGGACATCTGAACGCTTCCGTGGGAAAGTGTGGAGATGCTGGACAATTGTGTACCTGGCCTATGCTGGTGCAGGAACCCACCCACCAAGCCACTTCCTCCTCCTCTTCCTCCTGTGCCACATCCTATTCCATCATCGCCCAAAGCGTTTTTTCAAGGATACATAGAAGTGGGATAGTAAGGCTGAGAACGGCGTCATCTGCACTGGCCATGTTGGTGGAGTACTCGAAAAAGTGCAACATGGCACACAAGTCTCGCATGGAGGCCCACTCACTGGTGGTGAAGTGGTGCTGTTCCGCATAGCGACTGACCCGTGCGTGCTACAACTGAAATTCCACTATCACCTGCTGCTGCTCGCACAGTCTCTCCAGCATGTGCAAGGTGGAGTTCCACCTTGTGAGTACATCGCATATGAGGCGGTGAGCGGGAAGGCCGAAGTTACGCTGCAGCGCAGACAGGCAAGCAGCAGCAGGGTGAGAACGCAGAAAGCGCGCACAGACGGCCCGCACTTTCTGCAGCAGCTCTGATATATCTGGGTAGTTTTTCAGGAATTTCTGCACCACCAAATTCAGCACATGCGCCAGGCAAGGGATGTGCGTCAAACTGGCTAGGCCCAGAGCTGCTACGAGATTTTGCCCATTATCGCACACCACCAGGCCAGGCTTGAGGCTTAGTGGCAGCAACCACTCATCGGTCTGTTGTTGCATGCCTGTCCACAGCTCCTGCGTGGTGTGGGGTTTTTCCCCCAAACATATGAGTTTTAAAACAGCCTGCTGTCATTTCCCCCTGGCTGTGCTGAAGGTGTTACACTAACCGGATGAGGAGGTGGAGGAAGAAGCAGAGTAGGAGGAGGAGGCAACAGGAGGCAAAGCTGTGTACCCAAATAAAGATTGTCAAACGTTTTATCCTGGAACTGTGTCCCATCCGGTTACTGGGGAAATGGGTCTGACCTATTCTAATCAAAGGGGATAACCATTGGTTACCCATGTCCCACTTCAATTGGAGGCAAGCAGTGGGATCCCATGTCCCTGCCAACAGACCCATGGACTACAGTGCTCTAAAGCGACCTACACTGCAGGACTTGTGTGGAGCCAGAGGAATAACGCCTGGTGGGCTTAACAAGGCCGAATTGAATGCTGCGCTCATGGAGGACGACCAGGCATGCAGTGAGGCAACGAACCCCAGCCAGGGGCCAGAGATAAGGAGGAAGTGGGCAAGGAGATGGAACGGCGCCTGGCATATTACTGAGAGCCACCCTCAGAGGAGATCGTCAACAGGACCTTTTTGGAGGTGCAAGCCTATGTCCTTGCCAATAGACAGAGGGCGGCCTCCATTAACCCAGACGAAAGAAGAAGGGAGCAGAGGGCGCCGGGAAGCACAAGCTACCATACAATGCCTTCAAAGAGTTCAAGGAAGCAGAAGAAGGCATCGATTATTTTTTACAAGACTTTGAGCACCAGTACCTACTCCAAGACGTGGACCTCAGCGACTGGGTCACCATCCTGGCCAGCAAACTAGTGGGGAAGGCAGCGGATATTTACCAGCCTGTACCAGAAGAGCAGATCAGAGACTATCCCTGTATTAAGCAAATCCTCCTGGCCCAGTATGCGGTCAGCCCCGAGCAATACCGTCGAAAGTTTAGGGAGACCCGGAAAGGGGAGAAGGACTCCCATGCGGAGTGGGCATGCTGCATCACAAGGGCCACCCAGAACTGGCTTAACTCCCATCAAGCCACGTTCCCAGAGGAGATCACCCAGCTTGTCATGTTAGAGCACTTTTTCAACGGGTTCCCCAATGACAAGGTGATGACGCATTCGTATGTCATCCATATGAACTTTCGATGCCATTTACTGCGCCTACCATGGTGACCACGGTAACAGGGAATCAGGGTTCGATTCCGGAGAGGGAGCCTGAGAAACAGCTACCACATCCAAGGAAGGCAGCAGACGCGCAAATTACCCACTCCTGACGCGGGGAGGTAGTGACGACAAATAACAATACAGTACTCTTTAGAGGCCCTGTAATTGGAATGAGTCCACCTGAAATCCTTTAACGAGGATCTATTGGAGGGAAACTCCACTATCGCCTGCTGCTGCTCGCACAGTCTCTCCAGCATGTGCAAAGTGAAGTTCCACCTTGTGGGCACGTCGCATATGAGGCGGTGAGCAGGAAGTCCGAAGTTATGCTGCAGCGCAGACAGGCGAGCAGCAGCAGGGTGAGAACGCCTAAAGCATGCACAGCCGCTACAGTGAATGTCACATCCTGTTCCAAGTTGCGGATCAGTCTGGTGATGGCTTCTGGTATCCAGTACCCTTTTTTACAATTCTTGTTTAGTTTTCTTGGTTTTTCTGGTTTTCTATTCTATGTCTGGTTTTCTTTATGCTGGGTTTTCTTGGTTCATTCCATTTATTCCGTTCCTGAAATTCCCATTCTCCAGGATTCATTTAAATGCTTGTTTTGAGTTGCCACACAGGTTCCTTTTCCATGAATCCTTTTGTTTCAGTCTGGACCTGCAGCAGTGGTTTCAAGTCCTCTACCCTTACTAGCAGGTAAGTGCTATATGTGCTTTATTATGGTTTATTTAACAGACATTAGGCAGAGTAGGACCTGCCAAATATGGGGTACATTGGTGTTGGCAGGCTTATGCAATATATGATCATATAATGTAACTAAATCCCCATGATTTTCACATATAGTACTTGGTTATGTCTTCTCTTGTTTTGCCTATCATATCTTGTCTTGTTTTATTGTGTATTCCCAGTCCATCTACAGTCCTGTCTTGTTCTGCCCATGTTTAGTTAATGTTCCCCTTATGTATTGTGTACATGTTCTGGGTTTAGCTTCCTATCCTTCTCTGGTTCTGGGTTCTCCTAGTTCTGTCTTGTTTTCATGTTTGGTGTCTGTTCTAGTCTTGCCTCGTTTCTGTACTGGATACATTACTGCTGCAGCGCCTCCCTATTCAGCTCCTGGGAGGTCTGCTTATTTCCAAGCTCCTAGTTCCTGGGATCCACTGAAGCTGCATCAGGGTCCTGGTATGTGGTCGCACAAATGCTGGTGCTCAACACCAGGCGATGTGCGGTTACCCTGCACCAGATCCTGATAATCCATTCCACACTGTGACTTCTAACTTCAACATCAGGCATACTGGGTCCTGGTCGTCCAACCGCTGCCCAGACAGTGTCTGGGTCCAGGTCAACGGACTGCCACCCTGACTGTGAAACTATGAATGGCTCGTTAAATCAGTTATGGTTCCTTTGATCGCTCCATCTGTTACTTGGATAACTGTGGTAATTCTAGAGCTAATACATGCCGACGAGCGCTAGGGGATGGCCCCTCCGCTTTTTCACCCTGCTCCCTCTTATGCTGTGCTGGTGCCTCTGTGCGACCACCACCTCTTCCTCCAAACTGCACACGTCACTCGCATGACCTTTATTCCATGTGGGGTCTAGGACCTCATCATCCTCCACATCATCTTCCATCCACTCCTCAACCCTGCTGTCACATCCTCGCTGCGGATCATTCTGGTGATGGCTTCTAGTATCCAGTACTCTTTTTACTATTCTTGTTTAGTTTTTCTTGTTTTCTTTGGTTTTCTATTCTATGTCTGGTTTTCTTTATGCTGGGTGTTTCGGGGTTCATTCCCTGGATTTCCCAGTCTCTTGGATTCATTTAAATGTTTGTTTTATTTGCCACACCTGTTTGTTTTCCATCATTCCTTTTTGTTTCAGCGTCCTGCAGCCAGCTGCTCAAGGCTTCTGCCCTTGCTTGCAGGTAAGTGCTATATATGTCTTCTTTGGTTGTTTTAGCGAACATTAGGCAGAGTAGAACCTGCCAGATATGGGGTACATTGGCGTTGTTGACAGGCTTATGCAATGTATGATCATATAATGTGACTAAATCCCCATGATTTTCATAGGTAGTACTTTGTAATTTCTCCTCTTGTGTTACCTTGAATCTCTTGTCTTGTTTTATTTTGTCTTGTATTCCCAGTTCATGTACAGTCCTGTCCTGTTCTTGTTTTTCCTCATGTCTTGTGTACATGTTCTGCTTTCTGTCCTGCTCCGGTTCTGGGTTCTCCTAGTTTTGTCTTGTTTTCATGTATGGTGGCTATCTCTAGTCTTGCCTTGTTTCTGTACTGGATACATTCTTGCTGCAGAGCCTCCCTATATAGCTCTGGGAAGTCTGCTTAATTCCTTCTCCTAGTTCCTGGGATCCGCTGAAGCTGCATTAGGGTTCTGGTATGTGGCTGCACAAATGCTGGTGCTCAACACCAGGGGGCGTGCGGTTACCTTGCACTAGACCCTGCTAGTCCACCTCCACACTGTGACTCCTACTCATATCAGGCATACTAGGTCCCGGTCCTCGCTCCGCCACCCGGACAGTGTCTGGGTTCCGCCACCCTGACACCTGCCCTCCTTGCCGGTCTGCACACTGCAGAAAGCCACAGCAGTTGGCACCTGTGTTTTTCCAGGATGTAAAGTCTGCAAAGGACATATGGAAATTGTTTTAGAATTGTATCCAGGCAACAGTTTTCCCTATAAACTGACCTCTCAGTTTGACTTGTGAGGGTATTGCCCCAGAATTACAATATTGTTGAAGTACCTCTTAGCTATTGATAACTAATTTAAATATAGCAGCTTGTTATCTGGTAGTTTCTAGTGTAGAAAATATCAATCTGTTTTCTATCACTTAGATCTGTTTAACAAGTGTTGTAGGTGTGAAACAATACAGTATTACAAGTGACTGATGTAGTAAATTTGAATCAAAGTTCCATTTGCAAAAACAAATTCTCGACCATCTTCTGTGGGTTATTGCATTTTCAAGATGTAGACTTATTGTATCACTCTAGCCATGCACAGGTAGATTGTCTGGCATGTAGTTTTGGTGTTTGTTTTTTTAACTTTAGCACCAAAACAATTTGAATTTTTAAAACTGCTATGTCATAGCAGTATTTGACGGTTCTATTTGACTCTCAGATATGAAGTGCACCTTAGGCTGCAAATGTACTATTTAGCACCCCAAAAAATTTAATTTTTAAAACTGCGCTCTAACCACAGTATTTCACGTTTCTATTTGACTCTCAGCAGGGCTGCCATCAAAGTTTGGGGCCCCTGACACAGCTCAAGGTCTGGGCCCCCTAGTGCCTGCACCCAAGTCCGCCCAACGTGCTGCCCCCGCACCCCCCTTGAGTCCACCCACAGGGATGCAGAGTTTGTACTGATTCTGGTGTGTGTGTGAATAGTGGATGTAGAATGTGTGTAGTGGATGCAGAGTTCGTGTGTAAAGTGGATGTGGTGTGTGTTTAACGGATGCAGCGTGTATAGTGGATGCAGATTGTACATTTGTGTAATGTATGAGGTGTATATTAGATGCAGAGTGTGTGTTTGTGTAGTGGATGTAGTGTGTGTTTATAGTGAATGCAGAGTGTGTGTGTTTGTGTAGTGGATGTAGTGTTTGTGTGTATTAAATGAGATGTGTATAGTGAATGCAGAGTGTGTGTTTGCGTAGTGGATGTTGTGTGTGTACAGTGACTAGATAGTGTTTGTATAAGTATTTAATGTGTGGATAGTGACTGCAGATTGTGTTTCTTTCTTTCTTTCTTCTTTTTTATAAGTTTCTACTTGATGAAGCCTATTATGGCAAAACGCGTATAGAATTTTTTTTATATAATCTAAGTATTAATAAAGGAATATTTGGCTATTATACATTTGTTTGCCACATTCCTCTTTCCACTATAGTATTATATTATTTTATTATTTACAAGTTTATTTTATTTTATCCAGACCTAACTACTACTGCCTTTTTGTCCATAATTGGAGTACCAAGAATCCTAAAGTGGGGATTATACCACCCATACGCCATCCACCGAGCAGTACGTCTGCTCCATATACCGTGAGTATAATTTTATTCTGTTTCAACATTTTATCAACTATACAGTGAGCACTATATATTTTATCCTTTTATCCCGAGCTGGACTACTCCACCAATTTATTCTACCAAAGAACAAAAGAGGAGCACCATATATCCTTGAGTGGGGATTATTCCACTTCGTGCCATTCATACCAGAGCTGGATTTAAGCTCTGAATATTGTGAGTATTCTACTATTATATACACAATATTATTTACCGTTCATACTATACCATTGGAATTTTACATACCATTTTATGTACCACTAGGATTACCACCTGCATATTTGGACTATTTATATTTGGACTATTAAGTATCGCTGCTCGTACTCTTTACCATTTTCAATATTATTATTCCACTTGTTTTAGGCGCACCCTTATTCCTTCTTTTCTCTCCATTGAACTCTAAGGGGTTCAGAGGGGATTCCCCTTCTTTATAGGTGTGCTGCCCTATTGTTATATTCCCTGTTATATTCCCTGTTTTCCTATCAGCACTGAACCTCCTTCCTGATTTCGATGTGTAGGTTGTGTAGTGATTGCAAAGTGTGTGTGTTTGTGTAGGTATAGTAACTGCAGAGTATGTGTTTATGTAGTGGATGTAGTGTGTGTAGTGACTGCAGAGTGTGAGTGTGTGTTTGTGTTAGGAAGTAGTGTGGGTAGTGACTGCAGAGTGTGTGTTTGTGTAGTGGATCTAGTGTATGTAGTGACTGCACAGTGTGTGTGTGTTTGTGTAGTGACTCAAGAGTGTGTGTGTTTGTGTAAGGATGTAGTGTGTGTGTAAATGTTAGTGTATAGTGTGTGTGTAAATGTTAGTGTATAGTGTGTGTAACTGTTAGTGTATAGTGTGTGTAAATGTTAGTGTATGTGTGTAAATGTTAGTGTAAAGTGTGTGTGTGTGTGTAAATGTTAGTGAATAGTGTGTGTTTGTAAATGTTAGTGAATAGTGTGTGTGTGTGTGTGTGTGTAAATGTTAGTGAAGTGTGTGTGTGTGTGTAAATGTTAGTGTATAGTGTGTGTAAATGTTAGTGTATAGTGTGTATGTGTAAATGTTAGTCTATAGTGTATGTAAATGTTAGTGAATAGTGTGTGTGTGTGTAAATGTTAGTGTATAATGTGTGTGTAAATGTTAGTGCATAGTGTGTGTGTGTGTGTAAATGTTAGTGTAAAGTGTATGTGTGTTTGTAAATGTTAGTGAATAGTGTGTGT